AGGGGGCTCTTTTCGGTTGGCTCCTTGTCGAAGCCGGGGGGGGGGGGGACGTGGCCTTCTGGCTGCCGTGCAAATTGGCGGAGTGGGAGGAGGATCTAAAGAACCGGCCGAGCTGGAGCGTCGTTGCTCTGCTTTGCCTGCCGGGGGAAGCTCGCCAGTCCGCTGGAGCTGGAGCGCCTGTGTGAGTGGGGTCCACAACCCCGGAGAAGACAAATTGGGAAGAGGAGGAAGAGGAGGAGGAGGAGGGTGGGTGGGAAAGAGGGACCTGGCCTCGGTTCGGCTGCTTTTATGTCAGCCCGTCCCGGCTCTCCTCATCCGGAGGGAGGGAGGGACGTCCCCGCCGCCGCCTCTTGCCTCTAAAGAGGGCAGCCGGGGTGGAAAGTAAGGGCTCTCTTGCCCGGGGGTGACGCTTTTCCTTTTCTCTGCTTCTGTCCCCCCCGCAGGCAGAAGAACCGCCGTCCAAAGAAGTCACCATTCCCTCGCCTGACAAGGAAGACCTGTTGGCGCTCGTGGGCCGGTTCTGGCAGAGGAGGAAGCGTCTGGTCGCCGCCGTCGGGATCGCCCTGGCCATGGGCCTCGTCCTGCTCATCGCCCTTCCCCTCCTGCTGCAGGCGCCGCCCGCCGCCCGCGCTCACTACGAGATGATGGGCACCTGCCGCATGATCTGCGACCCATACAGCGCCAGCAGCGTGGCCGCCGGGCCCTCCGGCCGTCCCGGGAGCACCGCCGCCCTGGAGGCCCTGCAAGAGCTGAGCGCCCACCCGCCTTCTCCCCTGCCACCCTTCTTCCAGGGCCCCAAGGGCGATCCCGGACGGCCGGGCAAGCCGGGGCCAAGGGGGCCTCCTGGGGAACCGGGGCCCCCGGGCTCGAGGGGTCCTCCCGGAGAGAGAGGGGATTCGGGGAAGCCGGGACTTCCGGGCCTAACCATGTCCCGAATCGGACCGCCCGGAGCAGCGACAACAGTCGGAGGAGCCGGCTCGGGCGTGAGTGGCAGTAGCAGCCCGCCCCCGGGAGGCGAGATCACCGGCGCCCTGAGTGCTGTCTTCAGCGGGCCCAGGATCGCCTTCTACGTGGGCCTGAAGAGCCCCCACGAGGGCTACGAAGTGCTCAAATTCGACGACGTGGTGACCAACTTGGGGAACCACTACGAGCCCAGCACGGGGAAGTTCACCTGCCAGGTGCGCGGCATCTACTTCTTCACTTACCACATCCTCATGCGCGGCGGGGACGGCACCAGCATGTGGGCAGACCTCTGCAAGAACGGCCAGGTGGGTGCAACCCCTAGGCGGACCTGTTGGGCTGGGGCGGGGCTCCGGGGTGGAGTTACCACCTGCTAAAGGGAGGCGTATGAGGACAAGATCCTTTCCAGGGGTCTCCAACCTTGGCCACTTTAAGAGTTGTGGACTTCAACTCCCAGAATTCCTCAGACAGC